GGACGAATGAAGGTTAACAACAAGTGCCTCAATGCAACCACACGGTGCCGCACGGCATTGCACAGAAAGGTGCTGTCTCATCCTTCGTACTCCCTCCTCTGCTGACCTCCCCATGCCAATTGGCAAATGTTTTCAATTGTTAGAAGGATCGATGAGAGAAACTGTATGTCTGGGAACATGTTTCCCATGTTGCACCAGGGCTAGAGAGCTGGGGGACGCACTGGAGTATCTTGGCGGATTCCAGACGTAGGGCCAGGAGCATTTTGCTTCCGTGATCGGTGAATAATATGCAAAGACCTGACCACAAAAATAGAGCATAAAAGTGGCGTGCGCTAAATTCCCAAAGAGACGTCTAAATAGAAGAGTAAATTCTGCCTACGGAGATATCGAGAATTCATGTGGTCAGCGAAGCAGGGCCAGACACAAGGAGATGGGGGTGGGTAAAAAAAGCGGAAGCAAATGTGAACAAGGATGTAGGTATCTAATCCAGGCGATACGAAGAGCGAGGGTACCTATGTCGTCTTGGCCGTCAAAAGAAATCGACCACACGTCTTCTCATGTCGGAAACTACACAACAACATACCACTTCAGCCTAATACTTCATAGAAGTATTTGCAACGAAGGGGTACGTTTTCGTGTGCAGGACGCAAGAAGACGTGATAGTCGCCTCGAAAGCTAGGCAACGTACTCCAGAGTCAGCTCCAAGTTCGAAGGAGAGGAAGAATTGTTGCATACCACTTGTTTCCAAAGTACGGACTATTTAAGCGTTTACTGTCCAGGTCTGACGCACCCCTGACGACACGATTGGCGACACGCGCGGACACACTGACGGTCTTATCCTCTGCCGGACGCGTTTCATCGCACGTCATTGAGGTCATTTTCGTACAGCGGATGGAAGAGTGGCCTACCATTCTATCAGTGTATTCACGTACACTCATTTGCAAAGAAAGAGGAGCCATTGAATGGGGTCGGGGATGCTTTACATGGATAGATGGTACGTGATAGCGGGCCACAGTGATGTAAATGTGGGTGGGCGAAAGACTGAGAGCGTGCCTATGCGGCGTTGATCGACGCAAGAGGTGCGGTCGTTCCAGACTGCACGTTTTGGGGGTTGTATGTATGATGTCGGTTATGTGCATTGAGGACGTGGGGCCGGGTCACTGCTGGGCATAGGTGTCGCGTACTAAATCTGAGTGCTTGATGTGCGCGTGGTGCCAGAGACTGAATCGATATAATCGAATCTCGGGGATAGTTTGACGCTTATTCAGTGGCTACACGGCTTGGGGAAGGAGAGCACACGGTGCATTTCGTTATTTTCTTTGGGGAGACGTCTACAGGAACATACGTTCACGGAAGCCCTTCGTGTAAATTCAAGGTGTAAGCGCCGTAGACCACATTGCTATGAGAACATTGGTGATTAGGAATAGGCTGTGTCATGAGGCGAAGCATCCGTACAAGGTCCCCAGAAAGCTTCGGCCGACTCACAAGGAAGTGTCAGGTAAATGAACATAGATTAAAATATGTCTGCCCAATTGATGCAAGACAGAAAATTCGCCAATGTAATTTCCGCCGGTAGGAAATCGTCGGAAATCAAACTCCAAGGCATCGTCACGATCAAGATCGTCTCTTGTTTCATACAACAGTCGATCTGCGATACGGAATCCAGGAAAGCATGAGCATGTGGCCCGTGGAATGTTCTTTTCATCGATGCCATGTCTCGTACAACTTCAAGGCCAGGTATAACGCGTCTGAACATCGATAGTGGGTATTCGCGGACCAACTTACTGTCAAGACATGCATTCGGGGTCACGCCTGGACTTGGTATACAATTCAGCAGATACACCCTTGACCGCATGTGCCTTGGTACGCACGGCGTTCTGCTCTTTCTGCGAAACGGATATTAATAGGGTTTATATTTCGCAGCTCGTGGAGTCCCGTCGGTAGCAACTATGGTATCATGAATTTGGGTACGGACAGGCAGACGAGTGAATGATTGGACGCCGAGGCTTGAGCCTCCGAGTCGGATGCTCACCGCATGGCCTTGGCAGGAAAGACTGCATAGAAGAGTCCAAAATCGAAGTCATGGGGTGCCTGCGGTGAACGCGCTGACACGCCGCACACCTTCAACTTTCTGCAGTCCCACTAGGAAATTGGTGAGAGTAGAAAACATGAAATGTTTGACCGTGAGAATCGTAATTGTAGTCGAAACGGTTCCCACAGTCAATCTCGCTAGTTTCTCATTAATTCCGTTGACTAATTCCTCAAATGCCTCTCGACAAATCAAAGGTTTCACTCCCTCGTGAAGACATTGAATCTACACCATTAACGCTGGGGGAGGAGCACGACCATGATGAGCAGCCGCCTTCACCGACCTCAGGGAACGCGTTCGTACGCTATCTACACGAGGTAGCGGAGCGAGACCCCCGCTTTTACCAGGAGACACCATCCGTGACGAAGAGGGTGCTTCTGCTTGTCTTCGTAGCTCTGCTGTTCTGGCTGGCTTTTTCTATGCGACGCTCCATGATGATGGCAGCGTTTGGGCAAGAGGCAGAAGCTAGTAAGGCCGATCGGTGAGCATGGCCTAGTTGACCTGCTGCGTGTTAGCTAAAAGTCCCATTCATAATCGTAGCTACTCCGACGAGTACATGTTCAGGCCCGCAGCTAGCCCAATCATCGCGGAGACTATGAAAGACGGCAGCGTTCACTTCAAGGGGGCCTTGCCAACTGCTCTCTAATTTAGGGGGGAGGGCGAACCGAGTGGATTTCTATAGTAGGAAGGATCGTCAGCTTTCGCGGGACGAAGTCTGGGGCTGGCGAATGCATGCTTGGATCATGCACACGAGGCCCTTGTATACCGGTGAGCGTCCCTACCAGGCCATCAGATCAAAACCTCGACTCATGTACCCCATTTTTTCACAGATGTCAGAGATATCTCACCCACGCTCTTTTACAGTCGTAGCTTTCATTCCTTATCTTGTTACCCAACCCAGCCGCCGTCTTTGGCGCTTTTAGTCCTCGTTCGCACTACGACGTATCTCGATGGTCATGGACTCTTCACTCTCCGCTTGAGGCCCTTTGTGCTTAGGACGCTGTTCTCTTGCTTTCCTATCCGCCTGAGAGCTTATGTACATCCTCTTGTTCGTTCCTGGGCCGCTGATGGATCACTGAAAGGTTACACCCCCGATGGGCATACGTGTGATTGCTTTCCACACTTCCCGCTTAGTTGGTGTGTGCAGATGGTTGTCCGTCTACATTTCCCTTCTCGGTCATTTCTTTGCTATTTGTCGGTCGTTATGCCGCCCTGAATAAGTAGATTTCTCGGATCCCTCAGGCCTTTGGCCCTTCGTGCTTGCGACCGTAGGACTTCCTGGGGACCGATCCTGTACTAATTGTGTTTCTCTCTTTACACGAGCTAATTTAACGAGAGCTACGGCGAGAGGGTACGGTGCCGTCGCACGTGGTGGACTTCTTACTTCGCCGCGAATTGTGTTTCTACAACCACCGCACGGCGTGTACCCTTCGTGCCTTTTGGGGCTCCCCTGCTTTGGCTACACACTAGCCCCGGATTGTAGACTTCTCCGCCGTAAGGAGTGGCATGCATCAGCCGAGAATCGTCCACTTCCCTTATCGACCTCCCCCGACTACCGAAGCAGGACTGCTGACTTGTCTAGCCGAACGAGGCACTATGCTCAAGGAAGAGTTCCTCATTCCCACTCATGGTTTAGCCATACTACCGCGGACATCCATGAAATCTTAGGGTTCTTTTACAGCTTTGTAGCGATGTTTCTCTTCCTCGCTATGGGAGGCTAAATGAGTCTTGGAACGGCGAACTCGGGGGCATGTGTACTCACCACGGTTGACCTTCAGGCTGTCTTACAAATACTTGACGTAGAAGTCCTTGAACGTAGCTTCGGTTCCAACGTCATTCTTTGGACCGCATACCATCACTCCCACTCGCCACTGAGACGAATTCGAATCGTGATTGAATCCTTTCACTTCCCTCATCATAAGGAGATCCTGTGATCCACTCTGGACATCAAACGGCTCGCGGGAAAACAGATGGAACACCCGCACGGTAGGTCCAAGCCGCACGATGCGGATGAATAACCAGTACGGGTCTTCAGAGAGTTGCGACGTATTCTTGGAAGCGAGTGCAATCGACCAATCGGACCAATGGGATGCGACGACGCCCCTGCGACCCTCATGATAAGTTGTGCATCAAGAGATCGATCGTATATCATACCCAATCCACTGCTTCCCATCGTCCATCTCCACCCCTGTTTTAATCCATGAGGATTCCTCGCCGTCGCTGTCGTCTGCGACGACCATCAAGCATCCCTGATCGTACTGCACTCCCCATTTCCCCTGGATCCAAACTCCCGCTTCGAAAGACTTGTCCCCGTCGATAGGAACAGCATAGAACGCCCCCGTGTGCCTATTGGCCGCTTCTTCTCCTGGGCTCGCAGGGATCCTCCAGTAGTCGGTGTTTGGAAGTGCCTGGATGATCGCCGTGCTAGGCGTGATGTGGATGGAGGTCGCTGGAGGGCTGAGATGAAAACTCTTGGAATCGAAACCTCTGTAGATCGTAGTCGTCATGTTCATTTCCGTACTACTCAGCACCTCCTTCTCAGTTATACTTGGATCAAGGAGCAGATGACCCCGTCGGCCACATGTGCCGTACCCGTGGTAGCTTTGCCAATGGCGAAAGAAAAATTCCGGACGATGTAGCAGTCGTAGTTGATAACACGGAAACAAGCCCACGTCTTCAGGTTAAAAGCACTCGAATTTTGGATGAATTATGTTCTATGTTCTTTTACTCGCGCAAGTAAGTAGAGAAAGAGTGAACGTAGAATGACAGGAATTCTCACACTTTCTCATGTTCACGTGCCCCCTATCCTATCTTCGGCAGGGACAGGGCAGGCTGCCTCCTCGTACCAGGTAGCCTCCCATGTTTTAAAGTGGCGCTAGCTCTGACTACATTTTTAAAACTCTTTAAACATGAACCTTTGGCGCAGTGGTAGCGCGTGTGATTCCAGCACAGTCAGCTCTTCCTGTTGGAACATCCACAAGGTCGTCCGTTCAATCCGGGCAAGGTTCAGCTGTTCATTTTTTGCTTGATCATGGTTTTTATCGGTGAGCCGACTTGGGGTATTTTTTAAAAGATACCTTAGAGTAGAGCTCCCTACTTCGCAGCGGTCTGGTCCCACAGCAAAGCGCCTCAGGGCATCTCCCTGTCCTCTCCTGTCCCCTATACCGCTCACGTGGTTTTCAGAGCGATAACCGAAGTTGACCTCCGGTCCCCGGAATCGGTTCAATCGAGTGCGTCTTTTATATCTCGAAGTACGCGGCTTATTGACAAAAATATCGGTTATAGGTTTCAATCTCTAATCCTCCGATTCCGCTCTCGTGCGGTTGTGACCGTGCACTTTGCCAGTCTTCGGGGGCGGGGACCAAGGCTAATTTGACTGGACAGTCGCAGTCCAGACGTACGGTGCTCGACAGGTCACGTCGCCGAGCGTCTCTCACACCAATGCCACTCTACCACTCGAACCCGTTCTCTTCACTTTCCATTGATTTGGTAGAGCAGTGAGCGCGCGACGTTCTCGTCCCAGAATTGCTTTCTGCAGTTCGTTGTCGAAGACCATCATCACGAGGACCCTGTCTGGCCCTGGCAATCAACTTCATTCGACCAATAATATGCATATTCCTAGAGCAGCAATTTAGCTGTAATCTTGAACGCAATTCTGCGATGGATAATAGTGGGCGTACCAATATCCATATCGGTACGTATCACTGTGAGTACACTATCCTTACGCCGAAGCGAACTGATCGAACCACTTCTAAACGCTAGGAGGAAGGAAGTCGTTGATGAAATTGCCATCCTATACGACTACCTTCCCCGCTCGTCCATGATGCACAGAGAAACCACTTGGATGGATTCGTTCCAGAAACGATCACAATCGTGCCTCCAAATTGGATTGTGACTCACGGATCACTTATATACACCAATCCCTGGCCTCGCTCGCGAGCATGTTGAAGCTCTCATAGCTCGTGATCCTGGGGACGGTCAAGCCCACATTCTCAGGCCGCTTTCGACTCTCTTTTTCCAACATCTCGTGTGAGGAACCTGAACTGATTCGACGACAGAGACGATTTGACGATGATATATCCTTCCTAGTCTGCTCCAGTGGTTACCGGTCCCGCCTCCCGAATCTATTGGAATCAAGTGGATAAGGCAACGATAAAGCGCCTCCATGGTAAATTTCTGCCTAGCCATGTCACGAACTTGCCGGACAACAATACGAATCAAAGTAGGCGAACGCAATGAATTGGAGTAACTCAGGGACGTATCTCCTCTCACTACACAGCTTGTCCTTCCCGCGATGTACGATACCTGGCGGCCAGATCGCGTGCTCTCCCAGGCCCCATGCACGGGTGGTCCTACGAGGGTGCCATTAGTAAAGGACACGCGCCTATCTACTGCCAGCTGCCCCGTTGCTTCAGACAGTCTTACTCATTGTAGCCTGATCATCCCACGCGGGGCAGTGTCTCGACAACCGATCCTTGGCAAACGGAGAATAACGCAGTCCTTCACAGATGTCCGCCTTACCTCAAGAATACCTCCATCGTCTTGACTCGATTGAAACACCCAAATTAAGTATGTGTGCCAGATCACCGTGCCCAGATGCATAACCGAGTAAAATGTTCCAGATGATCGTTTTCCTCTGGAGCTCCACATCATTCTCGACTGTTTATGCATATGGTTGGAACTGTACGTGGACCCGACGGCCCGCCACTTGGTCAATGACATCAATCTTCCAATCTATATCGTACAACTTCGGCTGGCTAGATTCTCTTTCATACCTTATCGGTGGGTATAGTTCATTTATCTACCCTCCGTGCCCACTAATCACCGCGACATTACAAAACATATGGTTCAGATGCCGGCCCCGAATCTCAATTGTTGAACCCTTGTGGCAACTTTTGAACTATTGCGTAACTTGGGCGCGGTAGATCGCATGGTCGCCCCTGGATCGACATAAGGAATACTCTTTTGGTCAGCAGTTGCAGTCAATTTACACCTGGACATCATGGATGATTGATTACTTTCTGCGAAGGATGTCTATCGAACGGAAATCTCAATCCAGGCCTGCTAGCACTTTTGGTGTGCATGACCGAAACCCTTACTTGAGAGAACTGCTCGAACTTCGCTTGGACTTCTGCCTACACCTTGGCGGGTTGGCTACTTCCCAGTGTTACAGCTAACTCAATGGGTCATATATATAGTACCTGACACCCCAACGCCACCTACTTCTCCTTAGGAAGTCTAGATGCTGGGAGATAATCTGCTCGATGTGATCCCTAGAAATGATGGCCGCGAATGCCTCGCCCGTGGGTGTGGAGTGTCAAAGCCTTAAGTATGCTTACATTGTAAAGGGTTCATTCATCGTGATGTTCGCAGGCACCCTCCTCTTCATCGCCTTCTCATGCATTGCCCTGGGTTTTGTGAGGAAGAAAGCTCGCCAGGCGCTACCGCTCCCTCCAGGTCCTAGGAAGTACCCAATCATCGGGAATCTATTGAAGATCCCGAGCGACAATCATTGGGTCGTATATGATAGGCTTGCTAAACAATGTAGTACGTAACATCACGGTCGCTCTTCACTCGAGTTTATTGCTTATTTGTTTATTAAGACTCTGATATCATCCACCTCAGCGTCTTCGGCAATTCGGTGATCGTATTGAACTCGTTTGCGGCGGCCACCGAGGTTCTCGACCACCAATCCTCGATTTCGTCGAGTCGGTGAGATCTCCCAGTTACTTCCTACATCGCACATTGTGTTAAGTCCCATCGATTCTCAGGCCTCTTGGTACTATGATAGGCGAAATGTTAGCAAATCTCACTACCCCGTCATTCGGCGTGGCGCTTGCTGACATGGTCATCTTAGCATGGGTTGGAAATATATCTTCAGCCTGCAGCCATACGGTCAACGCTGGCGCGACAGTCGCAGGATGTTTTGGCAAGAGTTCCATCCCGAGCATGGTAGGGCGCACCACCGTCCCATCCAAATCCGTTGCTCGCGGGATCTCATTCGGCGCCTCTATGAGTCACCCCTCGACTTCCAAGCACACGTTCGTCAGTACGTAGCGCAGTCCTTCTTGGATATTACCACTATCTCAACTTTCCCACCACAGTGCGATCGGCGCCGGCATAATCTCGGTCCTGTACGGCCTGGACACTCAAGAGGAGGACCGCAATATCACCATGGTCGATGACGCCTTGAAGCACATTAATGTTGGGCTTATAGGCACCTGCATGGTCGATCTCTTTCCTTTTCTCAGACACATCCCTCGATGGATGCCAGGCGCAGGCTTTCGGACGGAAGGGGAGAACGCAGCGCGAGATTTGAATTTGCTGATTGACGTCCCGTATTCCCAAACTCGCAAGTTGCTTGTAGGTATCTGCGGCCTTGAAAGACGTGAATGCGAGATTCAACTCACACGCTCGCGTACAGGCAGAAGGCCGCGGAGAATCTTCTTTCATTCATCGAACCCTGAGCCGTGGACCGATTCCCGATGGAGGACTAGAAGAGCGTATTTTGAAGGAGGCGGCGACGACGACATACATAGGTATGTCCCTACTGCTTGTTCATGTGGCCCTAGTGTTTGACGCGCGTGCAGGTGCAAATGAAACGTCGAAGTTACCAATGACGCTGCTTTTTGCGATGATGGCACAGAACCCAGACGTACAAGCGAAAGCCCAGCAAGAGCTCGACCAGTATCTGGACTATCGGCGCCTTCCGGAGTTCGGAGACGAGGTTCACCTGCCGTACACTTACGCAGTTTTACTGGAGCTTCTAAGGTATTCTTCTTGTAGTTTATTACCTGTGACTTTCATGGCTGAATACTAGGAAGGTTGGAGCCGACCGCACCCCTAGGTGAGCTTCGAATGCGTAGAAATCTGAGTATAACTTACTCGCATTATTCAGGTCTTCCACGCAGTCTTGTTTCCGACGGGGAATATAAAGGCTATCGCCTTCCTAGCAGATCGATTGCCTTTTATAACATTTGGTACACATTTCTATTCCTCTCCGATGGTGCGACCACTGATGCACTGTAGGGCGATCCTCCATGATGAAACGACGTTCCCTGAACCCGAGAAGTTTGATCCTTCACGCTTCTTAAAGAACGGGGTGATCGACACTCAACTAAAGGACCGTGTTATGGCTACGTTTGGCTTCGGGAGAAGGCACGCCTATTCTCGGCTGCACGTACTTCGTTGACAATTTCTTTGCAGGGTTTGCCCAGGCCGATACTTCGCCTTGGATAATTTGTGGCTAAACTTGGCCTCCATCCTTTCGGTATACACCATGAGCAAGGCGGTCGACGAAAACGGCCAACAAATCGAAATAAATCTTGAATATACGGCCGATCTTAACCGGTTTGTTCGTTCACACTATCATATCATTTGGCACTGACAAGTGTCTCCGAGTAGGCATGTACTCCCATTCAAATGTTCGATCAAGCCTCGTTCCTATAAGGCAGAGGAGCTCATCCGTGAATGCTGTCGACTTTGAACCTTTGTCCATGATCTCTGTACAATGTTATTGTCTTTTGTAACCGTATATTGATATTGTATTCCATGGAACTCCCTGCTGCAATCTTACGTCGCGTGTGAGAGGACGGATTCATTCATCACGCTGGCTGACATCCGACCGTGCCACGATGTCGTTTATTTATACCAAATGGCTGGGATTCTCTCAATTATGAACGACTCGGAGGCCTTGAGGTTGAAAATTTGATCGTTGAAGCTCCAGGTAGCTCCAAGCTTCAAGCTTCAGGCCTTCAGGCCTTGAGCTTGATGTGGCATGTCTTCCACAAGTCGCCATCGCTTTGGAACTCCGTCACTCTCTGTAAATGTAGATCACCTACGACCATGACCATGAGACGCGCGATGGGTGGGCGGAATTCTAGCCAAAGCCCTTTGCTTTCGGTCCTGCCGTTGCGATATCTTCCTTCGTACTCCACCTTCGCGCCATACTCCTGGATGTTGCGTTATTTATGTGAGGCCTTCCGATTCTAGAAGCGATCAGCATCAAC